TCAAAATAAAAATGACTTTCGTTGCATGTGACAATGATAAACTTACCGAAAAGGCGTGTTTTTCCCGGTCGCTAACGTCGGTATAATCCGCCATTTTATTTTAGTGTGTTTGCTACCTTTTCCAGTCGCTTGCCCTGGAGACGTGTGATGTTTTGTTGACGATCGGACCAAAATCGTCTACGGTATCATTGAAGCCGTAGCTGTAAATATTCATCAAAATGTATCAACATTTTGTACATTATACAATAACTCTTTATTACAGTAATTGAGCTGATTTGGACTGGAATAAAATATTTTTTTATTTGGAACACATTGCAATTGATCAGAAAATATTTTTTGCTCCAATATTCTGCGTCGATGCCGTGGGCATTATACAATTTAAAATCAGTTTGCATTGTTTACTATAGCTGTTTACAGTGTTCTAGTCATTACGATTTATATATTTTATTGCTTCCATTCTAGATAATTATGCTCAGTGTTTGATGTAAAATTAAAGCGATGACTGAATAAACGAACCTTGGCTGGCGAAGATGTATCGGGAAGTGAAAAAAATATTCAATGTAATGACAAAAATTGTAAAATTGGAATTTCTTTTGCAAATTAAAATATACTAGTAATTTTCTATTAATGGTTTATTCAAGTTGGCAAAATATAATGTACAGAAAGATTGCCCGTAGAGTGTCGCTACACTGAAAAGTAAGCAACCGACAGCCTGTATAAAAGGGGGCCTGTGGTTGGTTGTTACTTACGCGAGATTTGAACAGGACTTACATCATCGGATCAGATTCTTGTTGGCTTTCGAAATTACCAAAACTTCAAAAAAATAAATACTAGATCAAAATAAAATAAAATAAAATAAATATACAAAAAAACAAACAAACAAAAACTAGGACCATATTTTAATCAGATTGATGTAATATCTAGCATATCAAGAATTATCTGAGTTCTTGTGCATTTGCAGGTACCTGCCATGTCCTCAGAGCAGCTACTTTCTCAGGATCTATTAGTCCACTCTTCGTTGAACTAGGTGTGGCAGTATTTGACTTGTTACTTATAGAAGCGACATTTGAAGCTTTTCTAGTCTCTCGAAGAGAGATTCTTATTGCTTGATGCTCATAAAATGTGAATGAAAACACGATATCATCGAGTTACTAACAGACATATTTTCATATATAGATCTTCCATGCATTGCTCCAAACAGCCATAAAACGTGCGTACTACATTGGTCATACCAAATAGCAAAACCACTTTGCTTCACTTAGGGTATCAAGGCGCTCCACAAACTCTAGTATTGTGTGTAAATCATGTAGATGTATACATTGAGTATAATTTTTATACTAAACGACTCCCTATTAGCGAAACCTTTAAGCAGACTTGTTTGTACTTCAAGTTGTTTAACTTTGTCATACACATCAGGTAGTCATCTGTGTTCATGTTTACAGCCTGGTTAGCATTAGTACTTAAGTTCAACAACAGTACACTACCTCTAAGTTTATCTTATGTTTAGAAAAGATTTGTATCTAATGGTTTTTGGACAATTTGCATTTGTTCTGGGCCTATGAACGAAATTAACAAGTTAAATTCAAGATTGTCAATTCAACTTTGGCTTTTTATTTTTATTTTTCTCACATGGTTTGACTGCTATGACCAAAAGCACCACCAGTTGGTCTTATCATGTCAGCTTTTTCATATCAGTCATAAAATACATGCTCATTTAGTCACTGCTCATTTAGTTTGTATCGTTTATTGTGATCGCTTGGTATGTCATTCCGTTTCCAATGTTGTCTTGGTGTCAGTAGTTATACAATTTAGTCTTAATAAATACTATTTAGTTTGTGCTCCATTACCATGCACCATATTTATCAGACAACTGGGTGACACCAAGTTGCCAACAGCACAACAGACAAATACCTCTATGGATATCCAATATTACACAGTAATATGGTGCCTTGTTACGGCGACAAAATATGTAATCAGTGTACAGCTACTTAAAAGCTAAAGGAAGCACGCAAAACTAATGACACAGGGGTTACATGATTTATGGTGAAAACAACACTCATTCACAGACTTACAGGTAATATACGACTATTCTACTTAATAATTACAATTGTGACAACCAGTGACATTGCGCCTGTTCAAATAATAAATAAATCACTGAAAATAACGAACATACATTGTATGGATGATGTTTGTGGATGACATACACAGCATACATAAACCTAGATGGAAATATGAGTATACAGTAATACAGTAATCCGTGAAAAGATTTACAGAATCCATGATGAGAGAATATCAGTATCAAATAAATATTACACAGTAATATGGAAACATATACACTATGACCCAGTGAGGGCGCCATCACGCTGAACCACATGACAAAGCAGTCTCACTGCAGTTGTTACAAATATGCGAGATGTGAGAAAGCAAATAACACCTATATTAGATAAATGTGATTAAATTAACAGCATAATAATTGGCAATGGCCGATATCAATGTATCTAGATATTGCTAAATTAATTATACCACTCATAGGAGAAGCATAACGAAATACACACAGTGTGCACCACATAGTTGAAAATCCGTTTACCCAAGGCGCCGCTTTTTGTTTCCATAGTGACCTATACAACGCATGTACGATGCACTGTTTGCTCACTTCTAAATCGAACACGTGCTGCGCGATGACTCCCACCCTTCCAGTGATAACTGCTACTGATATTTGGTTTATTTTCATAAATTAATACATTTTGTTATCTTTATATTGGTTTAACAATATTTTAACACGGCAAGTTTAATCATCTTCTTCTAAAAAACAAACAAAAAAAACACTACAAAGTGAAAATGACATACCCAACCGTAGATTAAGAGAATTTACAAGTATAAAAGAACACAAATGACTGACAACAAACTTAGTCAGATGAACCATAGAGATAAAAGACAGAATCTGTCCTTTACCTCCATGGAGGAACTGTGTCAGGTGATTCATGTTAATTGAACTATGTCACGTGACCATGTCGTACTAACTCTGCTAGGAGACTATCATATGTGAGAACTATGCCACGAGACCCATGTTAAATGAACTATATATACAAGGCAATTTTAATAAAGTCTTTCATGTTAAGATTGTTGGCCCTTCCCTATTTTACTCTCATTTCTATTGTTCAAATTCATTGAAGATTTTTATACATTCCATATAATAAACTATAAAATCTATATTATAAAACGACACAAATTTAAGCATTGTTTCAGTTAGAATACGTAAATAATTCACGCAGGGCACGTAAATAATTTATTCAGAATACGTAAATGATTCACTTAGGAGAATAAGCAAATATGCAATATGCGATGGTATCTTAATATCACTTGTAATGCATAAATGTAACATCCCCTAAACTGTTAATATGCTGGAAGATCATTAACTAGAGATGTTTTGGTGTCAATTAATTCCAATTGGTTGTTGACAAGTTTATAACCAAAATCTGCGAACAATTTACTTGAGCATAATTCTTGGACTCGTAATACTTCTTCTATTTTTAACTTGTTTCTCCATCGTTCGCCATTATTACCCTTTTCAAAAACTTCAAATTCTTCAACTTCTTGCAAAACGGAGCGCATGACGTCATTGCGGAACTGGACCCCCACAAAATTGTATATTATTTGAAGTGTCTGTCGTAGTTGCCTTTCCATATCTTCGTATCTTATAATTAAGTACCTGTCTTTCAACCAATCCGGGAGCTCCGATATTGCGAGGTGATTTAGTTTTAACCAATTACAGTAGTCCAACATTAAATCCTCCATTTTTGAATGAAGCTTAAATTCACGGTGTTCCACTTCATAGAAATTTTCCTCGGGCGTAAACAATTTTGTAAATTTCATTCGCGATGGAGCCATCCCCCGGGGATCTCGAACGATAAATATGATTTTCACATTGTCTTCTGTTACCAATCTTTCAGCCTCGAGAATGGAATACAGCCGACACACTTTGATCACCTTGTGAGGTTTCGATTTACATATACCAGTGACAGCTTCGTTGGTTATATTAGGTCGCGGCAAATACGTCAAATATGACCGCAACACATAATACCAAATGTTGTTCAAAGAATCGATGAAATACGGATGTCCAGTAAAGTTACAATTATATATATCGTGCATAAAATCGAGTAGGTCTTCGCGAATATCCGATAATTTATCATAGCTATCTTGCAAAATATGTTTCTTCAACGCTCGTTGTAACATTCCTCCGGGTTCGTGAACGCCGAAAAAGTCGGGATTCCGCGATAGAAATCTTTCCGTGATCGTGGACCCTGTTCGAAAGCGTGATACTATCAGTACACGAGTTCCATTTTGAGTTGATATTGTTCTGCGCTCGTTACCTGTTGCTCTGGGTGGTAAATATCGAACGTTATTCTTTTTGCGCGTGATTTCCGTCTCAGTCGATAGCTTTGCTTCAATCTCTTCTATAGGTGTAACGTTCCATTCCCTTCCCATCCCGTCAGCCACGTCACTTGCCGGAGATGTTGATGAAAACACGTAACTTAAAGCAAGCAATGCACACATATAAAAGAACAGTTTGATGCTACTGGGTCGTCTCATTTCTAAGGATAATCCTCCCTATAGTTTAAGTATGTGATCAAAAATCAACAACTGTGACATTACCTTATGGTAACAGCTTCTATTTAGCAATTATTAATGTACGAGTATAGGTCAAAGTTCGGAAAAAGGTCATTGCTCACATACCTGATGCTACATCATAATAATTTAATTAATAGTGCAAATATATATAAATGTTAATTTTTTAAAGTATTTAGACTGAATCCGTTCTTGTACTGACAATGTAATCTAATCATGGTTCGTGTATAGTCACGTGATGTTATGCAGTGTTGAAGGGCGGTGGTCGTCGCGCAGCGCGTGTTCGAATTTGATGTGAATAAAAGTATCGTTGTACTCTCGCTCCCAGTCAGTCAGTAAATCAATATTTTTGTTTACTGTTAATTTTGCGTTTGTTCTGACAATTTTACACCAAGTTGGCTCTTGATATTTCAACCAGAACCGGAAATTTATGCCATATATTTGTAATGATTTAATCTATGGAAGGATTATTATTTCATAACAATAACATACTCAACTGCAACAAGGGGTACTTTTCCTTCACTTGCGCCACGAACAACACTGTGAGCAAACACGATAAAGCGTCGACCAACATTAATTATCATCGACAACACCAATAATCACCATATGCTACCATATTGAGCCTCTTTGCATCATGAAGTTACACCCTCTATATTAATATGTTGAAATATTATATGCTTATTAGTTTCCCATGATACTTTGTGGCTGTTCGTTTACTAAAATAAAAATCTTGTTTAACATGAATCAACTGAAAAAGCAAAAAGTTGACGTCTTAAACAAATACATCATATGCAATAAGCTTGGTGATGTGAAGTAATGACTGAAAACAGACAAGTTAGTGGTAGCACAGATGAAGAAAGTGTGGCGGAGAGCAGTGAAGATGAAAGTTCCAAAGAGAGTTAAGAAGATGAGCAAAATGAAACTGATGATAATGATTTAGTGTTGGCTAAACTGGGCAACTCTGATTAAGCACAGAGTGAGGACAGTAGTTAGAACAGCGAGCCCATTCAACAAATTCTGCACTCCAGATCTGTGCGGCGAACCAGCACTTTAAATGAATGTACTTTTGATAAATAAAATGCGACCTTTCTTCTCTTGAGTTGAATCACACAAGACGTAAATGTGTATTATTGATTCTAAAACCAGTTTTTAGAAGAGTGACAGCAAATATGTCAAAACACAGTTGGTGGATGTAATTCCATGTTATTGTTGATGATGAAAATATTGTTAATGATAGGATTATTTCAATCACGGGGATTGCACTTGATGTTTATTTGCATGAGAGTGGCAGTCTTTTTGTTTTCTATTGTAATTGTAATCTGGCATATTTACTTCAAGATAATTCCGATTAAAAACTTTCTCCTTTAAACAAAACAATGTTTATGCGTACAGGGAGAGTCAGTATTTATTGTGCATAAAAAATGTAGGGTCAGGTATTTATATGCACATAGGAGGGAGAGGGCATCTGTGTGTACACATTTGTGAAAAAACACCAGCCCCCCCCTGTAATTTCTGTTTAGTCCCTTATAAACAGATAACTAACTAAGTTTATTTAACTATCACTTAACATCACTGTTACTGGTCTGCAAGGAAATTAGGTGTCTAGTAGTCATTATAGGCATAGCATAACTCAGTATTATGATATTCATAGTTGTAAATTGCAAATACTCCACGGGTTTTTGGGCTTCCATCACTGAAATGCGCAGGTTTTGGATTTCTCGTTAGCGGCGTTTCTGTACCAGATTCACTGGCATAATATAATAGCAATAAACCGCCGTCCTGTCAGGTATAAAGAAGCACTAGTTTGTATATGATGTGGTTCTAATCAAAACACCATGTACGCCATGCCTATCGATGGTTTATTAGTCATACTGTAACACATATTTGAGGACACGCGCAGCTGTGAGCCACTGAATCTCTCGTCAGACTGGAGACATTATAATCGCCTTTATTTTGAGCACATTATTAGTATAATACTCGTCAGAATCAGAATAAGGATTTGACCGAGTTACCGTAGGGCAAGTTCACAACAACTTCCGGTTCACGTGCCCGTATGGCTGCCATCGTACTGTTATTTAATGCCGATTCCATTTAAAATTTTTCCGTTTGTACATGTTATATAGACTGGCGCAGTCGGGCGATTAATTCATTTTTGTAGTTTAAAAAAAATAAAAAAAATCGCGAAATGGAGGTGTTATCGCGAAATCACCCCGACTGGTTTATTCTGCAGGAAATTAAT